AGAACTACAATCAACGTGTTCACACTGAACCTGCATATGGACTCCAGCTGGGGGCATGAGAAAAGAGGAGGCTCAGGCTTAGGGAAGGCAAACAGACTTGGGCTTGAATCCCAGCACCACTCCTTCCAAACAGGGTGGTCTTGGGCAAACCATGCAACCTCTGTGGAACTTTACTGCCTTATTTATAAAACAGGGTTTGAAATTAAAAACCAACATGTCTCCCAGCTTGGACAAGCTACACTCTAATATTCCAGAGCCAATTCTCAGCCATCAGAACCCCAACATTTGTAGCATCTGATTCTCCAACTGTCCTATTGTGAATGCTAGCACTAATACACTGAATTGCAATTGCTTATCTGTCTGTGCCTGCCCTGCTAGGCTGCACACTCTATAGGGACAAGATGGCCCACCCTCCCCTCTACGGCATCCCAGTACCTCGTGGGGAGCACCCAGGTACAGCGAGAATTCATTCATTCCACAAATGCTTATTAAGAACAGTATGTGGCACCTTGCTACACTCTGAAGCTGGAACACAGTGTCTCTCCAACCTAGAGCAGCTTTTTCTGAAAGGTTGCTCACTCTGACCCTGGGGAGATCCCAAATGCTGGGTTCTATGACATCAGAGGACTGTAAAGCACTTGAATGGGGTGTGGAAGAGGACAGCCCCAAAGGACATCTGCAGAGACTATCAGTGGCGGGGCAGGGGTGGGGGATGCTAATGCCAGTGCAGACTCGGGAGCCCACGTGCTGCCTGTTGAGCTGCGGGAGTGGGGCTGGGCCTTCACCTGGGACCCTGTCACAGACTCATCTGTGATCTACTCATTTGTGAACTGATCCCAAATCTCCTCTTAGTCACCTGCTAACAGGCCAGGACTGCAATGTCTGCTTCCAGGAGCAGGGGCCAAGTTCGCTGAATCTTAAGCTAAAGCTGGGGTTATTGTTTTTCCCTTAGATATAAGAGGGGACCAGGAAACTTTTCTCAAGTTAATGAAATTTTAGAATTTCTGCTGAGGTCTGAGTATGGGAAGCGGGCTGGAACTCAGCCATGTCCTGGAGAAGAGCAGAAAAACAGGGTTCTCCTTCCTTGGACAGCCTCATGAAAGCGGCTCTGGCCAGGGCCCCACAGGCAAGAGACAGGGGTGGCAGCTGCCCACTCAGGGAGACTCAGATGACCTGTGTTTATTCTTAGCTGTTTTTGTACAGAACCTAAAAAACCTTTGGACTCTGGGCTTGTGTCCAAGATGAGGTGCACAATAAACAGTAAGAAAAGCATCACCCCCTCTCTTAAGAAGACACCGTGTGCCGATCGGGGACTCCTGGTCCCCTAAAACTGTCAGAATCTCATCATTTATAAACAGCTGACAAGCTGGGCCACCAGGCTCCAGTTCCTGACCTGACAGTGGTCATTTACTGCATGACCTTGGATAAGTCGCTTCTGCTCTCTGAGCCTCAGTTTCCTGAGTGATAAAATAAGGGAGGGGATGGACCAGATAATTTCTAAGAAATCAAGCAGCTCTGGAAAACCACATCCCATCCTGGATGCTAACCCTGGTCTTGAGCATAGTATAGGGGGAAGAACCCTTGAAATGAAGCCTTCAGGAAAAATGCTTCATTGGCTCATCTGACTTCAGTATTTCCCTTAAAAGCACCATCTAGATCCACTGGCAACCAACAACCATTGAGCACCCACTGTGTGCTAAGCTAGCTCATTAACTGCCTCATTATAACCAGCCCATAGGATGTAGGGACATGTCATTGTCCCTACATCACAGGTGACAGGCAGAACGGTACACTCACCTATGGCACAGACTATATGGTCACCAAGACATGGGGTCTGCTTCCTATGCGAGGGTCCTTAAGCAAGCTACTTACTTCCTCCCACAAGCTTCAGTTTCCTCATCTGGAACAGAGATAATGATTGCCCCTGTCTCCTGGGCTTGTTTCATGATCTGAATGGAGTGGGCCTGTGAAGCACTCAGTGATGATTATCTGTTACTATCACGAGCACTACGACTGTTGCCATCATTACCATATCTACTAGAGGCAAGAGCAAGTAGGCTCAGGGAGAATGTATAAAAGGACATCACTCAAAATATCACAATAGTCTAAAATTTGATCAAGTCTAAGGACAGGTAAGATGGAGCAGCTCTGGGTCAGTGTTGCAGTGCAAAGTCTTCAAGTAATTGAGCCCAGGTTCCTGAACCTCTTAGCCTCTGGGTCTCCATCTATAACACAGAGGTAATACCTCCCCAGGTTGTGGGATTCTGTGTGCTAACATGGATGAAAAATTCCTGGCAGAGTGCAGGGAGCAGAAGGCTGTGGATGAATGTTCTCTCCCATGCCTTCCCATATGCTTCTTTTGAAATCTCCAAGAATGCAGCCTGCTGGTCCTTTCTTAAACCCCAGTCCCTGCATTAGAATTCTCGACACACAGGCTTGATGGCTCAACCAATGGCAAGTGGCCTACTGTGGGACTCAGCTTCTTCTTGAGGGCTGGGTGGAACCAAACTTTGCTAAGGCCCATGTCCTGGGCCCAAGAACTCAAGGCCAAATGTGCACATGGACAACCCAAGCACAGGCATGCACTAACACCTTGTCCAGTGGCCCTCAAACCCCACCACACACAACTGCCACCCAGCCAAGTCCACTGGCCTTGGCATTGACTCCCAGGAAAGTTGTAATCTTGATAGAAGCAATCATGGTATCAACCATGACACCTCCTCCCTTCCCTTTACCATTCACAAAGCCCTCTCACATATGTTAACTGGGAAGGAAAAGGCTGTGTTTTGTTCATCTTTAGATATCCACTGAACAATGCTAGGTATAGATACCCAGAAACTACTTCTCAAATGAATAAATTTTATCTTTATAACAAGATTTTTTAAGATCACCCCATTATTCAGCACTTGCCATTAATTACACACTCTGCTAAGCATTGTATACGCATCCTTGCATCTCATCCTGACAACCACTCTGTGAGAAAAGCCTCATATCAATCCCCATTTTGCATAAGAGGAAACTGAGGCTCAAAGAAGTTAAGTGACATGCTATGGTCACATGCTAAGCTAGTGAGTGACAGACCTGAGATGTGAATCCTGATTCCAGACTATGGTTCTTCACCCCTCCAAGTCTTTCTCCTCCTCTTTAGCCACAAGAGGCAGCAAAGAGGGGAACAGGAAAAAAGTGTATATAGTCTAAAGAAGTACATCAATAACACACTGATTTTTAAATTTGGAAAAATAGAAAAATCCTATTGCTTTTTTAAAATTATGTACAGTTAGTCAGCATATAGTACATCATTAGTTTTTGATGTAGCGTTCAACGATTCGTTAGTTGAGTATAACACCCAGTGCTCATCACAACACATACCCTCCTCAAGATCCATCACCTGATTACCCTATCCCCACACCACCTCCCTTCTGTAACCCTCAGTTTGTTTCCTGGAGCCCAGAGTCTCTTATGGTTTGTCTCCCTCTCTGATTCCTTCCCATTCAGTTTTCCCTCCCCTTCCCCATGATTTTGCATGCTATCTATTGCTTTCTCCTGATATAAACTAGAGAAAGCAAAGATCAGCAAAATCATCTTGGCCAACAGGACATGGGTGTCCGTTCTCTTTTCTCTAACACCCCACCCCCTGGGCACATTATGATTCCTTTCTAGTACATCCTCAGCTCCCTTAGAGCTCACAGCATGGGGGCTTGTTGGCACCTGTTTTCTGCTCTCCTAACTTCCCTCCAACAGGTCTGTCCACCTGCCAAATACTTACCACTGTGGGAGCTGAGGGAACCATCTTTTGTAAAAGGACCCAGAGTTGTTAAGTTCCCATTTCCTTGGAGGTTTGACCTCTAGCTCCTGACCAAGCTAACAGATTAGAATAAAGGTGATGAGCAAATGCCTGCTGGAAACAGGCAGGCAAGGAGTGACATGGTCAAAGTGACCCAGAAGTAACTAAAGCTTCATGTCCTCTTTCCCACAAGAAAAAATGGAACAGCACAAATGAGGACACTAATGGCACTGACATTCAACCAAAGGGTCAGGGCAATAGGGAATGGTGGGGACTGTGGCCAAGCAGAGCATCCCTAGAAGGATGTGGCTGCTGCTCAGCTCAGCCAAATTCTGCTGTGTAGGCATGCAGGCCCTAGGTCACCAAACCTTTCAACTTTCCAAAGGATACCAGACTCATATTTCCTTTTTCACCATGAACTCTCCGGATTTTTAAATGCTTGCAACTAATTCTTTACTTTCTTTTCTTAAATAAAACACACAAGTGGGCTGGACTTGTCTATGAGCTACCTCTGAATTGATCCTTGCAGCACAGATGGCTCTGCTAAAGACGTCCCCTTGCTCCTCTATGTTTCGAACCCCCTTGACAGGTAGCTGAGGCCAAGCCTTAGGTTCTGGCCAGGGGCCCGTGGTAACCTTCTGACCAGGCCTATTGAGAGTTGTCTGCCTCCTCCTATTTCTCTTTCCTAAGGAGACAGAGGTCCTGGAGGCTACATGGTACAGATGGCACAGTAAGGTAACAAGATGGAAGCATCTGCCCTTCCCTCCAACAGACTCCAGGTGGGTGCGGTCTCGGGGCCTATCAGTGTAGGCAGCCAGCATTTCTTGCCCTCGCATGTGCCTGGAGCACATGTCTTCATTACAAAACCCCATGGTAGTAGTTTAGCACTTCCAGGGTTCAAAGCACTTTACCTCCCCCTTCCTTGCATGGCTCTCCATAAGACAGAACAGGCTTTGTTATTTCACAGATGAGCAACTTGAGGCTCAGAAGGGAACTGAATAGCCCTGAGGTGTGCAGCAAGTGACTGGTACACTGGGATTCTAGCTCTGGGCTCCTGAGTGGACTCTCAGTCCAGTGTTCCTCCTACCACCCCACAGAAGAGCTGCCTTTTGCAATGTGAACTCCCTGGCACTCTCCGGTTCACGTGTGATCTCACACAAGGACAGCTCATATCCTCCCCTGCCCATGGCTGGTTGCTTCAAGATGCACCTCTTACCTTCCCTGTGGACTTGGTCCCCTTCCAGATGCAGAAGTAACAGATGGTCCAGGCTGCCAGGAGACACAAGGCCAGCTCCCAGCGGAGGTTCCCAATGTGCTCGATCCCATCTGAGATGGCCAAGACCCGGCGCCTGCAGAGGGGAGTAGGGAGAGTCACGGAGGCTGGAAACCCACCCTGACCAACCCCCAGCAAAGCTAGTGCTATAGAGGGGCAGGGATGGGCCACCCACTCATTCACCTGCCCTCCACCATTTGCTGAGCACTTCCTCTGAGCCAAACCCAGGGCTGGGTATGGGGACCCCAGAGAAGAACAAGACCCAGCCTTCTGTCTTCATGGATTCACTCATGGGGGAAAAGACAGGCCAGTTAGTAGATGGTTTATGGTAAGCAGGGCAAGGAGAGGAAGTTGTAGGGCCTCTGGAGAGACCAGGAAGCATCTAGCCTATCTCAAGGTTGCCAGGAGACTGTAGCACTGTCCATACACATTCCAGGTCCCTCCCTCAGCAGAAGCATTATACATCCCTGGCCTGCTGAACTAAACAGTGGACACTGAACTTGCTTTGGCCAGTGGCACCTGTGACACTTCCAGGGCCAGGCGGTGCAGTTCCCCTCTCTCCCTTTTCTCTACTGTTGCTGTCATGACAGGGTATGTATCAAGATGAAGCTTCTAGAGGCTTAAGTTCCCGAGTGACTTCATGAGGCCCTTCTGCTACCCCTTGTCCAAGATGTGGTGTGATCAAGAATGCAACATTGTTGCTTTAAGCTACTGAGATCTTTGGAGGTGTTTGTTATCGTGGCAAAACCCAACCAATCCTGACCGATACAGGGGGTCATGGAAAGAGTTCTGGAAGAAGTGATATTTGAGCTAAACTTTGAAGGATGATGGGATTTAGTCAGGAGAGAGAGGGAGTTAAGGTTGTTTTAGATCGAGGGATTAGCCAGAACACAGAGCATGGGATACCTGGGGAACGCTGGAGCATGGGGATCCGAAGGGAAATGCAGAAAAGGTAAACAGAGAAGTATCCCTGGGAGCCTGAATAACATGCTGAGAGATGGGCTATCCACAGGAGAGAGAGGACCCCTGGCTATACTGAGCCAGTGCCTCCCGCCCCAGTCTTCCTTCAGAACCATCAATTCTTCAGGGTTGACACAGGCCTGGCTCCCAGAGCCCACGCCTGGGGTTTGTGTTTCTTTAAAGTCAAACTTGCCACGCTCCATATTGTGCAGAACCATGGCACCAAAACAAACCCCCTCCAAACTCACTCCACGAACCCCATTCTGGCTGCCAAACCACCCCCGCTGGACCACGCCAGTTGCCTCAGTGCTCTGGGAACGTCCTTTGAGCAAGCAGCTCCCATCCCACCAAGCATGAAAGCCTCCCTCAGTGTCTGTCTCCCTGGGAATCTGCTCAGGGCCTGATTCTGCATTAATTATCCAATGACACCAATTAGCCCTGGTCTACAGGCTCCCTCCAGCCCCAGTCCCTGCTGGAGAAATCCGGCAGTCCCCCAAACAAAATTGGGCTGTGTGTAGCTGTGGACCCACCTGAAAGGAAACCAGCTTTCAGACCTATAGCCAGAAGTGGGAAAATCCACTTAAATACACATTTATTGAGCACCTACTATGTACCAGGCACAACTAATACTACAGATAAAAAGGTAAGCGTGTATAGGTTTTGCCCTCTACTAGTATGTTAGACCAAAAAAAAAAAAAAAAAAAAAAAAAAAAAAAATCCAAGTTATTTAAGGAAGGAGACAGCCACATAGCTACAATAGGTTGTTTTTTGTTTTTTCAAGGTTTATTTCTTTATTTTAGAGAGAGAGCAATAGCAGGAGGGGCAGAAGGAGAGAAAGAGAGAATCTCAAGCAGGCTCTGTGCTCAGCTCACTCTCACGACCCTGAGGTCATGACTTGAGCAGAAACCAAGTCTGAGGCTTAATGGACTGAGCCACCCAGGCGCCCCAGCAACAGTTTTTTGTGCTTTATTTCATTTCTTATGTCTTAGTAGTTTCTGGCTTTAATTCTTTTAAGACCTACAGGCCATTAAATAAAACCTTCAGGAATATCTATTATCATGACAGAGTAGTGGGCCAAAGAGCACAGCCTTTGTGGAACACTTGCTAAAAATACAAAAATTCCTGCACCTCATCCCAGACCCATGGAGTCTGAATCTTTTCTGTACGGCTCCCTGGCAGCTGCATTTTGCCACACTTCCCCAAGGACTGCTTATGCATGATAAGGCTTCTACACTACAGAAGTAGAGTTCCCTGGCAATGAAGGAATGACCTACAAATCCCACCTGAATAGTATTTTTGAAGAGGACCTGAGGACGGTATCCTGCATCCTTTGCGAAGCTACTGAAGGGCTCGACTTTCTCCCTGCCAAAATACTATGATGTACCCACTCACTCCCAAAATTCTGCAGGGAAACCTCATGGTGCTCATCAAGTACCTTGTTTCTAGATTAAGAGTCTCCTAGGCGACATATATCTACCACCTTGCCCACTGCCCCCAACAGCAACCCAAATGCCCAGCAGCTGGTGAATGAGAAGGGTGAAGCCCACACAGGAGAGAAAGTGGGCCAGGGCAGATGGTGTGCTTTTCCCAGTCCACCCCAGGCTCTGAATTTTTCATTAAAGAAACACTTACATGAGGTCCCTAGCTAGCAGGGGGGCACAAGCACACATGCCTTCTTATTGATATGATTGTTTTCAGAACTGGAATTCGAAAACTGGAAATGGCACAGGGATAGAGGGTCAGCAGAGAAGGTAGATCAGCCAGGAGGGAGCTGGCTCAGGTCCCCTCTCTTCCACATTTTGGATGCTACAAACTTTTGAGTCATGCAGCCTGCCTTGGCACCCTCTCGCTTAATTGAACAATCTAATTCCCAGAATGGGAAGATTACTAAAAGCTACGTGGGATGAATTGCTCTTTTGTTCCACCAGACACTATTTGAAAACATCCCCAAACGATTTTCTTTAGGTTTTACCAGAGCTGACTCTAGCTAGCAATGGACCTTGGGTTTCTAAAGATAGGGGGATCGGGGGCCAGGTTCTCAGCCTGCAGGCCTGTGGGTTGTTTTGAAACCCACAAGGGCAGCCTTTGAGAGCCAGGGGCTGGGGCACTCAACTCCGGAGACTTGGAGAAGGCACAGCTCTTCCTGGGAAAAAGCTTTCTTAATGACCCTCCCCCATGAAGAGCTGGGACAGGAGAAAGGTCTGAATAAGGAAGAGTTTGCTGCCAACACCCTGGCAAAAAAAAGGACCAAGGAACAGACCTCCCGACACTGTCCAGGGAGCGGGAAATGTTGAAGACTAGACAGAACTCTTTGGAGACCTTTACTCGAGTTATACTGAACAACTACTATGAGCCAGGAAGAGAAGTAGATCCTTCCTGAGGCATCTTTTTCAGGCCCTAAGTGTAGAATATTTCTGGAGATTGCTATCCAGAGACTAAAATCTCAGAGCTTGGAGGTATGAGGCCTCTGCTTCTCCACCCCTCTGCATATATAGAGATGGACTGGGTTCAAGAGCTCTGCTCCTTACCAGCTGTGTGCCTTTGGATAAGGGACATCACTTCTCTGAGTCTCAGCTTCTTCATCCATAACATGGGAATGACAATACTTCCCTTTGATAGGTTTTCAACCATCATCTAACCCTCCCCACAATCCTTGAGGTTAAGTATAATCACCATCATTTCAAAGTCATACCCGGAGCAAGCAAAAGCCCTGGGATTTGAATCTAGGGATCCTGGCTCCAAAGGCCACACCTTCAGGCTCAATGCTAGCTCCTAGATTCCCCCGGTACGCTTACCCTGTAAAATGACGGCCTTCCCCTCTTCTTCATAAATTAAAGCTGTTGGTAAATGCATGCCCCCAAACTATATTACATGACATAAAGGTAGTGCATATGTCCTTCATACATTTATTAATTTATTCAAGTAGCACTTATCAAGGTGTCCTTAGTGTGCCCATGTTACAGCTGGGGTTCTGTAAAGAGCTCATGTTCTAAAGGGGAAAGCAGACAAGAAAACAAAACTGGGCATGGAGAGGGTCAGGATGGAGAAAAGCAGGGACCCTCACTGGGGATCTGGCCAAAAATAGGATGTGGATATGTGACTGAGTCAGGGGGTCCTGGAGGATAGGAAGAGAATTAGCAAAGAAGTGGCAGAGAGAGAATTGGGGCGGAAAGGCCACCAGGTGCAAAAGTCTGGAAGGAAGGCTCGGTGAGGTCAGGAAAGGGCATAGCATGTTGGGTTAGTGTACCAGAAGCTAGGGTGAGAGGTAGGGGGTGAGAACAAGGCTGGAGTGTGAACAAGGGCTAGACTATGAGCCTTGCTAAGGAGCTAGGGTTTCGTCCTGAGGGCAACAGAAGCCTAGTAGAATCTTAAAACTCTTTGGCTGCAGTGGGAAGAATGGACAGTAACGGTAGAATGGGGCAGGGCTCCCTTAGTTTAGACACTAAAGGGGGAGGGTCTGGACCAAGGTAGGGGAATGGTCCTGGAAGGAATAAGTGGACTTGAAAACAGCACAGGTACAAAGTGACTGTCAGGGGGTGGCAGGTAGCAGGGAAGAGGGAGGTCTCAGCTGACACCCAGCTTCATACTTGGTTCGATGTAGGGTCATTAGTTGAGTAGGAGTGGAGGTTGAGCAGGTGGGAGGAGGAGGTGGTAAAGAATTGATCTTTGAGACAAGATGATTCTGAGGATTGTGAACACCCAGGAAGCCGTAGTGCCCAGAGGCAACTGGGGCTCTGGCTGTAAAGCTCAGAAAAGAGCTGCAGGGATGAGATTGAGACCTGAACTCAGGGTGTGCTGGGAGAGCATGAGGCTGCCTGGGTAGAGCTGGAGGAGGAGGGAGAGGACCTGCCACGGAGCTACCAGAACCCCAGCATTCACAGCGCAGAAAGAGGAAGGGAGGAGCCCTTGCAGCAGGCAGGCAGGTGTGAGCAGAAAGGCAGGGGAGCAACAGGAGAAGGGGGTATCCCTGGAGGCAGAGGGCATTCCAGAAGGGGAAGCAGCCCATCTGCCACGTGCTGGTGGGCAGTCTGGTGAGAGGGAGGGTGTTGCGGGATTTGCAACCAGAAGGTGTGGTAGAGACAAGGCGAGAGGATCCCTGTAGGGCAGACTTCAGGC